CACTTTATACACTTTTGGGAGCCCTTCAGTGGCCCCAACATCCTCTCTGAAGGTAAGACACCCACTCACTAGTGAATTCCTACTGCAGCCAGTTTAGACTTGCATCATGATATTCATGACAATTTCCAGAACACAGCAACTCTCATCTATTCTCTGAGGATAGTGTCCTGTTCCCAAGCGCTTGGCATAAAATGTTTACTTGCTAAATAAATGGACAAAATGAAGGAAGTGAAAAAAAATGTAGCTTTCAGATGTTGCCCAGACCTAGAAGTAATTGCCACTTTGCTTTAGTATACACTAGTCAAATTCTTGCCTCATATTTTGTAAAGATATTTACATAGAAGATATAACTGTCACTATTCTAGGGAAGGACAAAGGTTCTTTTTAATAGAGAAGGAACTTGGTCTTGGAAAGATAGATCAGGAATGCTAGGAAGTGGCAAGTTGGCCCCAAGTTTTCCCTTCCAGCAGTATTTTCTCCACACCTTCTTGCTTTCCTGCACATCTAACTCCCAGAAAGAGCCAGCTTCTTTAGGTCCCTTCTAAACTGTTCATGTTTAAAGTTTTGATGAAGTGATAGCTTTGGCAAATTTTATAGTGACTATGGAACTCTTAAAGTTTTCACAGAACAATAATGACACAGATTTTAATTTGTTCCTGTTAGATCAGGTATTGGTCACTTTAGTTTTTCATCTTTCTCCCTCTGCTGTCAAGTCATCACTCTTTCTGTTTCAATGTCCTTAAATTAAGGAAGCAATTTAATCTAGGTGTTTTCATTCTTTCTCTTTCATATATTATTTTCCTAAGCCAATACACATCAAGTCCTTAAGCAGTTGGAAATATATTAATAGACTGGAAAAGGAGAAAGAAAGAAAGAAAAAAGAAAGAAAGAAAACTCCCAACGCTTGTGCAGCTTTGAAATGGCGAGGGGTCACTCAACCATCAGGGAGTCAGTCTTAGAGGGCGGAGAGCTTATTTGTGTATCTTACATCTTTTAGAGAAAGAAACAATAGCTGGCTCCCTGCTTCGGGGTCCTTGGCGCCGCCCAGTGGACAGAAGACCCTTTACACTTTATTCCTGTCAATTTTGGCGCTGTCAGCAAGTGGACCTTGAGAAACGTTCAAATTAAATGATAGAAGAAACACCAGTTTTAAGTTCATCATAGCTTGTGAATAAATTTCTTCAAATTTACTCAGAATTTAAAAGAAAGCACGAAGCTCCAGTTTAAAAAACAAAACCCAAACCTAGGTAGTGCAAGAGGCCCATGAAGGACGCTTTAGGGAGCACAACTTAGAATATTCAAGTGTTTGAATTAGTCTCAGTAATAGGAAAGAAGTATCGTTGGTGTGTTTGTTGATTGGCACTGACACGACCTTCAGAACCAGGAAGTACAAGTTTGTTCTCTATTCACAGTTGGCCAACAACTTATCTCTGAGTAATTATACCTAAAATTACAGAATTTCCTTTTTTTCCTTAAAAATACAAGGGCTTGTCATATCATTTTTACAATTCCTGTCCGATGAAGGACTGTGTTTGTATTTTAAATCCAGTGGGGAAATCTGAGATTAAGTTCACTCAATGCACACCCATTCGCTTGGAAATGTGATTAACCTACACCCTAAGCTAATTTTTAAAATTCTGATTATTCAAAAGTGAAAAGTAATTTATATTTGTTCTGCCAGAAAAATGCATGCTTTTTTGTACATATACATTTGTATACCCTTAGAAAAAGATGAAAAAGAACATCTCTGGAGAAAAAAAGAACTGAAAAAGTTAAGATCCTAGCTTTTAAGAATTTGTTTTTTACTGTTTGTGATCTGGTCTTTGGGCCCCGATTCTGGTCCTTTAGGCCATTACTATTGTTTCCTCTCTTGAGAAAAGTCAAGGTCGTATTTTTCCCTTCACCATTGTCACTTCCAAAAGCTATTCTCCTAACTCTCTGCCAAAGAAATCTTCTATGATAGCAACATTTTCTTAAGAAAACATGATCTAAAACATTCACAAGGTGGGCCGACTGGGTTCCCATTCGCTTTGGAGTTTTTATAAAACACGGCATACCCTTCTCCCCAGCCCTTCTTTCTACTCTTTCTTTTCAGATTTCATTTTTTCATAGGGTCATATTTCTGTTGTCTTCCCTGCCAATGTTGTAAATTATTCCAACCTTAAAAAAAAAAAAAAAAAAAACCCAAAAAAACCCACCCTATTGAACCGCCCAACACAAGCTGTGCGATCAGTCTTTTGAGCTCTTGAGTCATTTTAGGCGTCGGAACAAAACAAAAACAGGCTTAAATGAATTATTTATCAAGGTCGAGAATAATTGATTTGTGCAGTGCCGTCAGTTCTGGATTTTAAATTTGTTTTTTCTCTCTCCCCATTTCCCACCCCGAACACGCCGCGAGGGGAGTGTGAGTTGGAGCCCCCAGGGCGAGCAGAAAACGCACCTCATCTGGGAAGTTGGTAGGTGATGTCAGAGCGGGAAGAGCCCTAATCGATAATTCGCCCGCCGGCCCGCAGCCCCCGCGCCCTTCCCGCCCTTCCCACTGCGGTCAGCTCTGCCAGAGGCTGAGCGCGGAGACGCGAGGTGTCCTGCGCCGGGCCGGGCGGGCCTTGCTGCCTGGGACAAGGAGTCTTTGTACGTCCGCCGCTGGTGGCTGTGTAACCCCGGTCGGAAGGCCAAAGCTTGGCCCGAAAACTCGGGGGAGTCTGCCCCGCCAGCACGCGGCTTCCGCGCCGAGAGAGGCCGATCCAACCCCGCTCGGGCGGTCGTCCCGGCCCTGCCGGGCGCCCTGGCCCAGGCTGGCCCGGCCCGACCCTCGGCCGCACGTCCCGAGGGGCTCCCACGCCCTCAGGGCCGCGAAGCCCTCTGCCTGGAGCCCGTCCCGCGCCCCGGCCTCGCTCACCATCCCCGGCTCCGCTACCCAACTCCCCTTGTCCTCTGAGAGAAGCGAGGGCTCCTTCCTCGGGTCCTTCTCACCTTGCTGTTCTCAGAGAGCGACAGCACGGTGCAGAATGGCACCAGGATGACTGGAACCAGCTCAGCGTACCCTCCACACAGCTCGGGCTTTTTCTGGGTGAAAACACCTCGCTTTCTCCAGCAAGACCCAGGGGGCATAGGTCGCCCATTACCCCCTTCCACACTAGGGGTTGACACTGCAGTTCCCAACGAAAGGCAACATCTTGTCCCAGGAGGACATCTGCTTCCCTGCTATCTCCCCTGACTTCAGCAAAAGAGCTGCTTCCCTGACAGCGACCCACAGAACCGCAACGAAAGCCCAGATTAAGGGCCATTCCTTGGAGACTTTACAGGCCATTTTCTAATATCATCCTGCACCTAGTCACGGAAGCGATGCCAACCACGCAGATTCATAGGGTTCTTAAAATGGTAATTTGGAGTAAAATGTAACTCAAAGAACTTTGAATCATTCATTAGCGCCTTATAATTACTCTGCTAATTAGGTTGACACGGCACTTAATCAGGAGTAATATGCCGTCTTGTCACTGGCACTTCCCATTACTCTGACATTCAACAAGAGACAGGTGGAGACGTCCTAAAGAAAATAATGCAAGTTGATACCCTCCGACGAGGCGTCACAGTCACGCGCCGGGTCCCAAGTGGATCCGCAGTGACTGTTTCCTTTCCAGGTGAGCGGCCGGTCTTGGGGTGGGGACACGGGCCACCCGGCGCGGGGCGCAGACTGCCCTCGCGCCGGAGCGCGCCCCGGGCTCTGTTCCCCTGGTGGGGAGAAGTGTCCGGCCAGGCGGGCGACCTCCGGAGGCGAGGCCCGGTCCTCTCAGCAGCCCCGGCTTGGATCCGCCACCTGGTGGGCCCGAGCCCGAGCGCGTGGGCCCCAGGGGAGAACCGAGCGGCGCCTCAGCGCTCCGGCCGGGTCGCACCCGCCCGCGTGTTCCCTCGGGCCGGTCTCTGGGCTCGGGTCGGGGAAGGGGCGCGAGGCTAACCGGGTGGGCCGGCCCGTCCACTTCCCGCCCTGCGCGCCCACTCGCGTAACTGAAGAAGGCGCGCGGCGCGGGGCCCCTGCCTGTCCTCCCCGAGGCCCCTCTCTGTCTCCTGCGTTCTCGCCCCCGCCTGTCCCTGCCCTGCGCTTGTGATTGTGGACACCAGGAGCCCCGGGCTGGGCGCTCGGCCCCGGCTGCGCGCAGGCGGCGCGCGGGTTCTCAAAAGAGCAGCGGGGCCCGCGCGGCGCCGGAGGACGGCCCCAGCCG